CAATAAATGCCACTTTTCAATTTAATGTGTCCTTGCTGAATAAAAGCCCAAACCTTAAGAAAAGCAGTGTCTAAACCTAAAATCAAACATATTTAAATGAAAGACAAGCATAAAACAGCGTATAATCACCCTAGGTGGGACAGTTACTATGCTAAAATCCTCATGTGACGATTTACATCATCAAGACACCATTCCGGTCTTTCAGACACTGACTGAAGTTTAGCATTAGTATTAGAGGTTTCAACAAGCACTAGTCACAACCCAGCCAACCTTCCCGTCTCTCTCTCTCGAATCAACACACAAGTGGTGTAAACTGCAGTTCCTCCACTGGCCTCTAGAGGCTGGCTGCAGAAGAGACTCAATCCCATAGACCCGCATGTTAAAATGACCAACTTTACAGCAGAAATAAACATGTTTACAGTCTGGAGCAAAAAGTGGTTTTGGTCTGTATAGATAATTTTGCCCTTCATGACGACTGTGAGGAGGATGAATGTTTTTATAACTCATCCGTTTAAATTATATTAAGCCTTAAAGTTCTGCATAATTAAGGGCGTGGCCACTTGAGTGACAGGTGGATTGCCGCTGATGTCACTGCTAGCGTTTGTCTGCTGTGTGTTAGCGTCACGTCACCTCAGCTAATCCGCCTCGCTGCACATTTCCGGTTATCCACGAGCCAAGATGGCGACGGCCGGCTCCGCCCACTTTGGGCGCTCTTCAGAAACACTACGGGTGACGTCACACACACTACGCCCTTATGTCTTTACAGCCTACGGTCACAACACTACAAACACCACACACCTTGTAGAAAAGTCCGAAGTGGTCTTCCAGCTCAGGCTTGAAGAGTTTGAGTTCTTTGAGCAGCCGGTCTTCGTAACCCCACAGGAGGTCGCCCACCCTGAACGTCTCGAACACACCCACGCCTTTGGATACCATCAGGTCAAAGACGAGTCGTCTGATTAAGCTGTCTTTGAATGTCTCCATCACGGTCTGAGGTCAAAAACGCACACACACACACACACACACACACACACACGCACACACACACACACACCCACACGTGCACACACACACAGACAGAGACACACACACACACACATAAACCCACACAGACACACACACACAGGGAATTAGCTCATCTCGGACATCATTTCTTTATGCAAAATATCATTTCTTACTGTTATTTGAGTTCCCAATCTCACCACAGCGGGGATGTTGACCGTGCGGACGGGGTCGTCCTCGGAGCCGCGGGACATGTCAGGCTCGAACACGTATGTTTTTGGATTGACAGCTTCCACTCTGGTTCCGTTATCCATAAATTTCACATCCTCTTTCGGCCGATACTCCCTGAAAGAGGAAATTCAAGTTTTAGATCTGGTTCTTATTGACTTATGAAAACAACAACGTGTTGGAGGAGCTGAGCTACTCTTCAACAACAGGTCATGTGACTCAGATTAGATCTGAAGGTGCTGACATGTGGGCTCTGGCCGTTTCACGTTTCTAACGAACTTTTCATCAAACTTGTGTATGCAGGCTTGGTGAGCAGACTTTTTTCAATAACATAAAAAAATTGTATATATCATATTTAATATATATATATATATATATATATTTCAATTATATTTAAATATATATTTATATTTAAAAGTGTGTATATATATATATATATATATATTATAATTATTGTAATTTTTCAATTAAAATCAAGTATATATTATTACATAAACTTTTTTTTATTTTTTAAATAACTTAGATTATAATACAATAATTATAATATTGGTGAGCAGAAGAGACTTCAATAGCATTAATAAAATCATAACTACTCCAGTGTATTGACTGGCAGAGTGTGTTCTGGGTCATGGCTGACCTGTAGGTGTACGGGCCGATCTCGATGACCGAGGGCTTGTCTCCGTTCAGAACCTCTGCTGGATTGGTCACATTAAAGAAGTAAAACTGCATGTAAACCGGCGGCGGCGGGTTCTGCCACACCGAAAACGCTTCTGTTCCATTCTCCAGGATGATTTGCTGTAAGGGAAAGTGAATTGTGGGTAGAAATTACCAAAGTTGCGGAAGAGAAACACATAATGCTCCTTAATTACAACAGAAAACTTCATAATATCATATATCATTTGCAACTCAAACTTTCAAAGTGCACATTTTGTGTAAAAGAAAAAAAAAAGAAAAAAAATTCTGGACATTATGTCATTTCTCTCCTTCAGCAAATGGCATATGATATTAATTCAATACCATGATATTATAGAATCAAATTTCATTGTAATAATGCTAGAACAAATAATAAAGGGATATTATATAATTAGGGATATAATATTATAATGTGAGGAGAAAATCACAATACTACATAATAAAAATATATATATTACATAATATTATGTTTGATTTATATAATGTCATATCATTATACGAAATACTCTGATGTTATAATATAATAAAATCATATATTTCATAATATTATTATGTGAGGAGAAATTCATACTACTAATAA